TCAACAAAATGATGATAATATCGGTGGAGGAATAGTACACAAAGCACTATTAAAACAAAGTAATGTTTGTCCACAACCAATCACAAAGACACACAAGTTTGTCTTAAGATTGTTGGAGAAGACTTATAAAAAGGGTTATGTAAGGGTTGATTTTTGATATATTTGTTTGACCAGTTTTAACTCGCAAGAGCGTGATCAAAACACAATTTATATGAATGAAAATTTGGATAGAGTTTCGGTATAAAGATTACGCAAAATAAGGATTAAGGAGTAGAAATAGAGAATAATTCAATGCGAGACGTTATCTCTTTCCTTAAGACAAATTGCCCCGCTACGGTGCTCACGGTGAATGTCACTTGTCTCCCAAGATACAATGGAATCACAACTTATGGTTGCAGCACTTCAAACCACAAGAAACCGACGAACTTTTGACAGAATTTCCCCTCTACAAAGGAAATGTATGAAATGCTATAGAATTAGAAAGAATAGAATTGTAAGAGGAGAATGAATGCTCAATGCAATTGATGTACCCAAAATCATGTCCATAGGGTTCTATTTATAGATGTAGAAAGGGTGCAAATGAAGTAGTGTGGGCCAAAACATGCATCCTTTCAAAAAAAGTTGAAACGCTTGGCCAAAACCTGCACCTTTTCGAAATGTTGCAACACTTCATTTCTTCCAACTTTGGTTCGCAATTTCTCATTCATCCAGAATTGGTTTCGAGATTCTAAATATACCACGACGATCTACTCGATGAGTAGAATAAGTTGGTCTATTTACTTTTGTAATTTAACCATCGGATCAAGTTCGAATATTTGGTCGAAGTTAACACGTAGTCACACCTTTTCATTTTCCATTTTTACACACCTTTTCATTTTTCAATTTTTACACACCTTTTCATTTAATTATTTGAACCAATTCTTACACGAAGTTCAAAAGAGGTCGACAGTTAGGCTGGTCAACAAAAGTCGACCAGTGGGGCCGATCGGTCGACCAGCCCTGCTGGTCACTGGCCGACCCCCCCGTGGGCCGGTCAGACCCCCTTCGGTACCCTCCGACGAAGGTTCGATCGAGTCACCACACCTCCCATCATTATTCTCATTGGAAGGAGAAGAAAGAATAGTTTTATATGGCAACAAAAAAAGATGAAGAGAAATTCAAAGTAAGATTTGAGATTAAAAAGGAGAGAAAATTTCCTTAGAAGGGAAAAAGCCTAGGATGTTGAGAGGAAAAAAAGTGATTTTTTGAAGTAAAAATAACCCCTCCCCCCCCCCCTTTTATAGACACAAGAATTCAAACTTTTTGGGAGAAAAATTCCCTCCAACATTAGGACCATTGATGGGGTGCCATGTGTACAGTAAAATTGCTACTTAATTTCGATTGCATTGCTCGACTTACTAATACGAACTACTCATTTATCATTTAAAAAAAAAAAAATTTCAAACCAACCCAGATAAAGAAAATTGCTATCCCTCGTCGAAAACATCGACAAGGGATAGGGGGGCTAATGATATAGGTTGGTAGATGAAGCCACCCTCGACGACAAGCAAGATGGATCATTGCACTTCCATGCAAAGCCATCGACCCTTAAGGGGTGCTCTACCACTATCCTCAAGTGGTGCTTGACCACCATGCACGGCCATCGACCCTCTAGGGGCGCTCTACCACTACCCCCAGGGGGCGCTCTACCACTATCCCCAGAGGTCACTCTACATCTATGTGAAGTCTTCAACTGGCATGGAATTGCCTACCCAAATACTTAGCCATAAAATCCCTAGTGAATTGATTAGGTTCCATTGCGGTTAATATGGGTTCAACCACTAGACGGGAAGTTAAAGACCCTCCACTCAGAACGTGGGGGTAGTGGGAATGTCAACGTGGGACACGTGGCACCACAACCGCCCAACGGTTATCCAACTCCAAATATCTATAAATACCCTCGAATGTGACACAGGTAAGGGGATCTCTCTCTCTTTTTAGTCATTTGAATTCTAGTTGCCTTTTTTTCCAAATCTATAAACTAATTCTCAGACCGAAGGTAAAATAGGGGAGGAAGCCCCGCCTTCGTTTTCCAGGTCGCACACACTTGACGGAGTAGTTGGAATGCCGAACGCCACCAGGTAGATAGAAAAATATTGTTCCACAACCATTTCATCAAGCTTATACATTCATAGTTATAACCACTTCTCATTACATTTCGTTTGATTTACTATTATTCCTCTTTAAAAATCATTTATAAATTTCCTGAATGAAGGCTAAGTTAATTTTTAACAATCCGATATTCTTGCATTGCTTAGAGTATTACCTAAAAAAATAGAAAGACAAAAACAAGAGAAGAAATAACGTATAGAATTACGCTAACAGTGAGCTGTGTAAACAATTTGAGTGGATCCATACTTCATGGATTGGATTTGCTTTGCTGAAAGTGGAAAAGTACTTCTGTTAAATTAGCCCAAACTAAACTTAGAAGTCTTCTGGCTACAGGCCCACGCTAGGCCCAAGATCCAACTTTGGGTAATTGTAAAATGGGAAAATCTACATAATTATTATAATTTCAAGATACACTTTAAAAAACATATAAAATTCTTTCAAGAATAAGATGGTCACGTATGTGACCACGTGATAAAATTTTGTAACTTGTTGATTAAATAGGTCAAAGTCATAATAATATAAAATTTATGGTAACGATCACGTGCTATTCACAAATTATATCGTAATTTGATAACCATTATTCCAAATCTCTTTAATTCGCACTCCATTTATCACACATTTAAATAATAAAATATTTTACACGTAAATTTAAGTTTTTTTCTAATTTTTAATCACACATTCTCCAAAAAATCATGATTCAAAACATTTTTTTCCACAATAATGGCTATAAAAGAGGGGCCACATAACATAACAGACACAAGTCTTAAATTATCGATTACAAATCATTGATTTTCATAATTTATTGATCACAAAATATTAGTGATGACAACGGGATAAGGTAGGGATGGCAATCAGGCTCGTCGGCTCAGGCCGCTCGTAGCTCAGCTTGAGGTTCGAAGGCACCGAGCCAAAGCTCAAGCCGAGCATCATTTTTGAGGGTTGGCTCGAGCTAGGCCGGCCCGTATTATTATTGAAAGGGGGGAGGGGGGAATCTGCTACCTGTTTGGCAGCTATTTGCAGCTAAACTGCTTAAAGCTGTCTTAACCGGCAGCAAATCTACTGTCGGTTGGCAGCTAAAACAAGTTTCCAAACAGGCAGCAATAGGTATTTAAAAAAAAAAAATTCCAGAAATTGAGCTCCCCCTGGTTGGCTAGGTAAAGTCCAAGCCGAAAGTTCGGGTCGAGCCTTTATTTTTCGACCGACCTTTTGCTCGGCCTTACTTGCCCAAAAAAAGCCCGCCTTGGAAGAGTTCGAGCCGAGCCCAAGCAAAATTTTTTGGCTCGCGAGCCGGCTCAGCTCGTTGACATCCTTAGGGTAGGGGCAACCTCCCTCATCCCGCCTCACCCCGCCCCGCCTCCGCACCATTATTCATTTAAGGCGGGGCGGGGTTTTGACCCATTTGGTACATCTTTTCTAAAGTTTTTTATAATTCATTTTATTGCCCCAATTTATTAAAGTGAGACAATTATATATTTATTAAATTTTTAAAGTTTAATTATTAAAATATATTTGATAAACTAAAATTTTTATTGTTTGTCATAATTTTTAGATAATCTGAATTGTCATTTTCTATTAAAATTTCATGAAATTTTGCATTTAAAATATTGAATTCTTCAAAAAAAAAAAAGGAGCGAGGCAGGGGCGGGACCCTTGTAACCCGTACCACCCGAGGGCGAAGTCCCTGCCCGTTCCCGACCAGAATACCCAAAAGCGGGTGGGTTTGACTATTTTCTTTTGCCATCCTTACAAATTGTTAAATTAAAATTACTCTTTCATCTTTCCTACACCACCCAAATCATCGTCGGTACCTCAAATCCATAACCCACGACCACTTTTACCTCAAATCCATAATATCTTTTTTTTTTTTTTTTGCCACCCAAACCGTTGGAAATAAATTTTATTGGCGACAGAATCACACCGCCGTCTCACTCCCTACCTTCGACAGGCCTCATTGCACAAACTGGGAGCCTAACGCCCCTAAAACCATGAGAATTGCACGATTTTTGTGTTTGCATATTGTTTTGACTGCAATTTGGTTTAGATTTGAAGCTTAGCCAGGCGGCCATTACGAGGAAATCAATGAACACAATATTTCTTTGGTAGTACTTTTCTCTCTTAATTGTGTTTCAACATATTTGGAAACGTTAGAAACTAGAACTCTCCATACAAATTTTAGTCAATTCAAACAAGTGCTAAACTATGACCTTTAAAATGTTACAATCTAACCTCTATGTTCAGTAAGATGGACAAATAATCTCTAAACTATCTAGGGCCAAATTGAGATGATTTATTGAGGACTGAAAGAGATAATATTACAAACAAAGATTTAGTTTATTAAAGCATTTTCAAGAGATTCTTGAAACATAAAATTCTCATTATTTTAAAAAGTCAACCCTTAAAATTTTTCTCCAAGAGCCTTTTTAAATTAACATTTTAAAACATTTTCAAGAGATACTCTATTTTTAAAGAGCACATTCCATCATTCGAAAAAAAATTATGAATTTAGACAGTTGAAATTTTGAAGTACTCCAACAAGTTAATTTTACTAATCACAAAAAATATTTATTATTATTTTTTAATTTTTATTTTAACTAGTTTTTTTCTATATTATTTTATTATTTTTATATTTTAAAAATTGAAATACTTTAAATACATTTAATTATAGAGAGTGAGTTTGGCTCTCCAAAACTCACTCTCTATTTTGTCACAATGGTGGAGCCAAGTGAGGGCAAGTGGGTAAGATCTCACTGAAATTTGAGAAAAAAAAATTTATATGCCTTTTCAAGTTATTTTTATTTTAAATACTATTTATATTTATGAAAAGTTTTCCGAAGTTAAATTAAGCTCCATTGAATTCGAATCCTAGCTTCGTTATTGCTTTGCAAGTGCAAATTTAGAAAACAAAGACTTAATCAACTAAGTCAATTACAAGTGTAACTAATTAATAAAATTTTGCCCCCGAGACATAGTCCAGTGGTGCAATTGACAGAAGTGAGATTATCTCACATCTTGCTGACAGCCGCAGTGTAGGGGTTCGATTCCTGAGATATGGAATTGAACTCCTTGTAGACTCAGTGTACATGCAACTCTTGTTCTCTGGCCTACTGTGACACATCCCGTGATTTACCTCCCTCACAAGACTCTAAGGATGGAATGGTAGGAGCCCTCAAGATGGGGTTCAACCTTTTTTTTTTTAATTAATAAATATCATAAACTAATCACACAATAATAACAAAAGACTCCCGTACACTGGCTACAAAAGGCTTACAACTTGTATTCATCAGCTTGCTAAACAGACTTTTGACTGCATCCAATTATTACCTTATGTAATCGTTCATCAGATCTTGACAAGTCAAAATCCCACAAGGATTATTTGCACACTGTAATCCTGTTCTTTTCACTTACTAAATGATTAGAATTATTCATGCAGAACTAATCCGCAAAGATATATGAATAATATATGTATCACACACACTTGTAGAATGTTTAATCTGCTTAATATTATAAGTGCTTTTAAGCAGGGCAAAGATTTCAAGGACACTTGGGCTTATTTCCGTGTGTTCGTAGCTTAGCATAACAGGGACACACATTTTTGTTGCCATAAGTTCCTGGCGGCACGCAATGGCATCTCAAGCAACAAGTTTTGCATGCGCGATGGCACAAATTCTTTCTTGATGACTTGCTGCATCTTCTTGTGCATTCATGACTGCAATCTGTTTTTTTGCACAAATTAATCAGAACTTTGTGATTTGTATTAAATATTGTATGTGAATTTTGGGAAAGAGGGAACGCCAAATTATATGTAATGTTACTAACTGATTTTTGGTTTTGGGATTTTCTTGAGAAGGCCTCCTAAAATTCCTGCTTCATCCACCTGAATAAAAGGTTGAATTCCAAGAATTGACATTACTTTGCTTCAGAGAAGTACAACATGTTACGGATTAATCACTATATATCTGTATGAACATATGATCAGACTACACAGGGTCCAACACGAGAAGGGGAAGTAATTTACCTGAGTAAGAGAATCTGCAGCATCACTCAAGGTCAATGCCTCTTCAAAACTCTAACATAGAATTTCATAGAAAATATAAAGTTAAGCCAAGTCATTACTATATATACATTAGCCCTGGTTTTGCAGAATTTCAACTAAAATATACCTGTAGAAGGAGGATGGCAATGAGGAAAAATGACAAGAATTTCATCTTTGGAAAATTCAGCTGAAAGTTCTGTAACTGCATGCAAACTCTTGATTGCTGGTGCTGTCTATTTATAGACAATCAGATGACCTTCCTTTGTATTTTTTTAAGGTTCACATGCACTGATTTTTATGAAAATCACAAGCTTTGAGAGGTAAAGGTAAAAATTGAGCAAGTTGAAAGAGTACAAACTCTTTAATTACTAGGAACTTTCCGAAACTTTAGCTAGGCCAGGCCAGCTTTGGCTGTCCATGATGAGAAAACAGCTGGTGGATTCCTTTAGAGAAAGGAAGAAATGGATGGTCCTAGTGATAAGGAATGGTGTTTTAAAACCCCATACTTGTTTGTCAATGTACGAGCATATGGGAAAGCGAAGACAGTGACTCGGAACCAATATGGGCGTGTAAAAGTTTAAGTTATTAGATTGAGAACAGCTGTATTCATTTTTCCTCGGATATATTATATATAGTTGGGGTAGACTGAGTTACCAGACCAAAATGGCCGATTCAATCTCGTTCTTTTTTTGGGAGAATATTTAATTGATGGATTTTTTACTTTTGATTTATAAGATACTTATTGATTCTCGTTCTATTCGAATCGGAATGAGCATACTCTGCCCACCACTATATATATTCTAGAATGGTAGGGAATTTGAGGTAAATGGCACTAAAACAGACAATTTTTACCACCTTTATTTGAATATAATTTTGTAGCGTTGATACCTGAAAGAAAAATATTTATATTTTCTTAATATGAAATTCAACAAAGTTGAGAAGGGATGTTAAGGGATAAAATTCTACATCGAATAAAGATGAAAATATAGAACAACTTATAAGGTCTTGAGCTATTCCTCTTAGCAAAGATGATATTTTAAGATTGAACCCCAAATCTTAATGTAGTATCAGAGTTCATTAAACTTCAAAAAGTAATTCGATCCGATTAAAACTAAAAAAATAAAAAATGAGCACATGAATTTCAAGATTGATTTGCTCAAGCGAGCCACCATCTTGTAGGAGCATGTTAAGGGATAATATCTCACATCAAATAAATATGAAAACGTAAAACCATCTTATAAGGTTTTGGACTACTCCTCTTAACAAATTTGACATTTTAAAATGGAATACCAAGTCTTAACAATGGAGACGAGACCTGACTGCCCAATGAACACTTGAAAGTTAAAACATATTATTGGGGCTATCAGTAAGCAACAAGTACCAAGAGAAAAGGCGCGAAAAACCAGACAAGGACAAGGGCTAAAGAAGGCCCATGTCACTAAGGATCCATTTAATTGTAAAAATGGAATTGAATTGTCTATAAAACGAATTTTAGGGAATTGAATTGTCTAGAATTGTTTTCGTATGAATTGTAAATTATTGTGTTTGATTAATATAATTTTTCACGTGAAAAATGTTAAAATGAAAGTATTTTTTGGTGTTCATTTGGCTCTATTTTATATGAAAATTGTCAATTAAAGGGATATAATTTACTGGTATTAGAGATAGTATTTGTTTCCATTGCCCAAAAAAAAGTCAAGAAAATCATCTAACTTTTAGTGTTTGTTTGTCTTTGTTTTATATGAAAATTGTCAATTAAAAGAAAATATTTTTTTACAATTAGGGATAAACCTAAAAACCAAGAAAACTTCAAAGTTCAAGAAAACCAAGAATTTGAATTCCATGAAAAAAATTTATCAAATACCTAAAGTTGGAAAATCCAATTCCACCCTATCAAACACACCCTAAGGATACTATCCAAAGAAATTAAGGTTAAACTCTTGGGCCAAATAAAACAAAAGGAAAGAAATAGAGGAAATTACATGTAATACCCATTTTTAAATAATATTTCATAAAATACATTCCAACTTTTTTTATACAATTATTACCATATTTTACAAAGTAAAAACAGAAAATAATAAACAACCATATAGAAATTGACTATCTCGAGAGCTTCTATTACTCCACGATCCACCAAACATGCCCCAATTTGCTTTATTCAATTAGAGTGTGTTTGATTATATTTATTTTTCATGAAAAATATCAGTTTTTCATCCAAATTCCTATTTGAGGTGTTTGATTGCTATTTTTTTTCCATGGAAAACATTTTCCAACTTTTGAAAATATGCCTAATTTTCCTTATTTTTAAGAAAAGCATTTTCCCTGGATAGAGGTGATTTTTATTTTTCACAAAAGAAGGAAAATATTTTCATTTCTAAGTGATATTTTCCATGTCAATCAAACACACTTTTAATGTTCGAAATCCCGAAATTGTAGTCTTTACCAAAGAAAACCCCCAATTCCACATAACCATATTTGACAAAAATCAAAATCCCAAATCTCCTAATACAAAAAATGAAAAATCATCCCACATATCATTCACCTTCATTCCTCATTCCGTGAAATCTATATATTGTATAGCAAATTAATGATCTTTATCATTGAATGTTGAAGATATTGAGGCTTCTATCAATGGATATATAAACCCTTTTGAAGGAGTAGAAGAGCACAACCCGAGGAAAGTTTAGTACTTAGATTTGGAATTTTTCAAACTATTATTGTGTAGTTCTGTTGATTTATGGGTTTTTAGTGTCTCATTGACATTAAGTGTTTGTTTGAACCACATTATTTTTGAAGAATGTATTTTAAAATAGTAGATTGATGGAGAATGTGTGATTAAAAAATAAGGAAAAATTTTAGATTTGCGTGTAATATTATTTTATTGAAGAATGTGTGGTTGAAATGATGTCAAATCACTATTTAATAATGTATTTTTTCAAAATAATGGGGCTCAAACAAGGCCTAAATACTACATTGCATTACTACCTGTTCAAACAATGCTACATTGCAATTCGCAAGAATCATCATCTTACGCACATACAAAGAAGCTTGCAGAAAGCATTTTGAAGCGGGAGATACAACATAATTCACCATCATAATCTTGCTGCAGTTTTAATCTAGCATGTATTAAAATTATCTAGCATTCTATTTGTCTAATAGCATGGCTTGATTTACTCAAGTTGATATTGTAATCACATACAAAGAATGAGCGACAGGGGATAAGGGGCTCAACCATTTGTTAAGATGTTAAGAATTACTAGGTTTTTTTTATTTACCAGCAAATCACGAGGAAGTGCCCGTCCAAGTCCATCTACACACATAGGCCCATTTTTATTCGACAATTCCACACTGCAATCGATATTTTCAATCACAAATATCGATCTATTTAAAGTTTGCTAAGTATATCATAAATAGAAAAACTGATCTGATGGTTGGAAAATTCGTCCCAAATAAATAGAGATCCCATCTAGTATGTCATATTTTCGAACGTTGATGCAAGAAGTTGATTTAAGTGTATGATACCAACTTTCACCTAGTACCACGCAACATGGGATGAGATGTCTGGCTTTTGTGTTAAATAATGCAACTTGATATTTTTCCTTGTTCTGATTATGTTTCCTAGATGTCTAGACTTTGTCATATGTGAAATATTGAGTAAATGAAAGCTGAAAAACGTGCAACATCTTGGGTATTATACGGCTTTGAATGATTGAATTCCTAGTTCCAGATCATATGTACTAGTTTTTGTTAAACAACTCAGAGATAGACACACCACTTCAATCTGGAAAGGGCATCGCTAGTTTTCATTATTAATAATGATATGAATCTTGAAAGTAGTAATCTTGCATGGATTCTCCTTCCATTGGGAGTTTCCTATCCCATGACTGAAAACGAAAGCTTCTTATTTAGTTTGTGCAGAATATACTTTATGGAAATACGACATTATTTTGTTGCTGGTCTAACCTTGATCAATACGACAAGAATCAAAAGTGAAACTGGTTCATGAAATTGAACATTTTTATAATTTAAAATTTGTAAGAGCATATGCGATAGCCGGAACATAACCCCCGAACTTCTGTCTATGATAACTTCTGTTCCTCTAGATCACACATTTCACAAGCTTGCACACGTTCATTACAAAAACTTACATGAAAAAAACCCAAAACAAATATGATGGATTTAGAAGAATTCAGTCCCTAATTCCAGGAATCAACTTTTATCAACAGAGATAAGGGCTAATGAAAATAATTATGCAATGAATTATATCGAACATATAAAACCACAACAATGCTACACGAACAAGCTAAAAAACAGGTTCAAAAACAGGATGTACACATGTCAACATATGTTTGGACTGTTTGAAAAATAAAAACAGCAAACACCCAATCATCTTTTACTAAGTCAAACTATTTTTTCCTGTTTTTGAGCTTGGACAAACAGCATTACTCATAAACCCAATATGTCATTCCTTTAGTAATACGACTCCCAAAAATAAAAATCTTCGTTATCCAACGTTACACATACCAACAATATGCAATAAACAAGTATAAGACAAATTCCTAGTGCTATAATCAAGCTTATAAGCAATATATTTTTGAATCACATAAAATTGCATATTTAATAAATACACACCCATGAAAGATATCTAAAAATTATTCTAACAATTTGAAGCTATAGGATTCTCTAGAAAAAATGACATATCCTTGCATTGACCACGATACACATTCTTGATGCCAATCCAATTTTTGCAATCTCCTAACAGAACAATATCACAGCTATATGTCTACATCAGCGATGCACTCAATCTTCAAACATGACTTCCTCATGTCAAGTTTTAATTCATTCGTTATCATCTCAACAAGATCCGTGTATTTGCAAGAATATGAAACCAAAAGACCAATCATTTCTGCTCTGTTCTTCACAAAGACATTCAATAAATCCATTTCTGTATGAAAATAGGAAAAAAAAATTCACAATCAAAGTTTGTGAGTTATGTAATATAACATAGTCTATTCATGGAACCCCAAAGTAATATTGTTCAATGATAAACATTTTCAGTATTCACATTCGCAAGAACTATGATAAAATAGCCAAATCAATTCACAAATTATTTTAACGCACAGTCCAGTATATTCATCAATGTATCTTGGTGTAATTATGATAAAAATAAATCTCATGTACCAATTGATTTCAAGGATTAACAACTAAACACCTAAAACTAAATGTACATTACACAAAATATCACTACTTCAAGCGGACAAATTTCGTACACGTAGAAACCCACAAAAATTTTGATAGAAATTGTAGTATTGACCTTCTTAATCA